CTCTCTCTCTCTTCTCTCTCTCTCTCTCTCTCGCTCTTTCTCTCTCTCTTCTCTCTTTCTCTCTCTTTCTCTTCTCTCTCTCTCTCTCTTCTCTCTCTCTCTTCTCTCTTCTCTCTCTCTCTCTCTCTCTCTCTCTCTCTCTCTCTCTCTCTCTCTCTCTTCTCTCTCTCTGTCTCTGTCTCTCTCTGTCTCTGTCTCTGTCTCTGTCTCTGTCTCTCTCTCTCTCTGTCTCTCTCTCTCTCTCTCTCTCTCTCTCTCTCTCTCTCTCTCTCTCTCTCTCTCTCTCTCTCTCTCTCTCTGTCTCTTTCTCTGTTCTCTTCTCTGTTCTGTCTCTCTGTCTCTGTCTCTCTGTCTCTCTCTCTCTTCTCTCTCTCTCTCTCTCTCTCTCTCTCTCTCTCTCTCTCTCTCTCTCTCTCTCTCTCTCTCTCTCTCTCTCCTCTCTCTCTCCTCTCTCTCTCTCTCTCTCCCCCCCCCCTCTATTTATCTCTGTTTTACTATATTTTACTGTATGACAATACTATATTATTGTTATTATTATTGTTATTATTATTATCATCATTTGTTTACTATATTTTACTTACTGTGTATTATTATTATTATATATTTTACTATATCACTATTATTATTATATATTGTACTATATCACTATACTATACTATTATTTTATATTTTACTATATTGTAATTTGTTTTACTATATTTTTCTATATTACTATATATTATTAATATTATTTGTCTTTCTGTATTTTGCTATACTATACTATATTATTATTATATTTACTATATATATCACTATATATTATTATTATTATTATTATTAATATTATTATATATTTTACTATATTGTTTTACTATATTTTACTATCACTATACCATATTATTATTTTGTATTTTACTTCTCTCTCTCTCTCTTTCTCTTCTCTCTCTCCTTTCTTTCTCTCTTTCTCTGTTTTCTTTCTCTCTTTCTGTCTATATCTCTCTGTTTTACTATGTCACCATATCACTATATATTATTGTTATTATCGTATATTTTTCTATATTATTTGTCTTACTATATTTTACTATATTACCATATAATATTATTATATATTTTGCTATATTAATATTTGTTTTACTCTATTTTACTATACCACTATATATGTTTATTATTATATTATTATTATATTTTACTATATTATTGTTTGTTTTATGTTTTACTCTCTCGCTGTATATTATTATTTTATATTTTTCTATATTATGTCTTCTACTATATTTTACTATATCACTATACTATGTCATTATTTTATTTTTTACTATATTTTTATTCCTCTATCACTATATATCATTATTATTATTATTATTATTATTATTATTATTATTATTATATTATTATTATTATTATTATTATTATTATATTTTACTATATCTCCTCAATGACTATGCTATATTATTATTATTATTTGGTTAATATATTTATTATATCACTATATATATTATTATTATACATTTTTACATTATTATTATTTATTTATCTATATTTTACTATATCACACACACAAACACACACACACTATTATTGTATATATTTTTTATTATATATTTTACTATATTATTGTTTGTTTCACTATATTTTACTGTATCACTATATAATATTATTTTTATGCGTTTATTATTATTCATTGCCAGTGAGTTTGTTTTTGGTTGCGTTGGTTAGTTTGTTTGCGGATAACTCAAAAAGGTACGAATAGATTTTTATTAAATTTTTACGATAGGTGGGTCTTGGCCTAATGTAGATGCTATTAAAGTTTGGTGGCGATGCGGATATTAATTATTTGTTTATTTCTTTGTTAGATAGAAAAATTAGTCAATCCGGATATTGTTTGTTTGCGGATAACTCAAAAAGGTACGAATAGATTTTTATTAAATTTTTACGATAGGTGGGTCTTGGCCTTACGTAGATGCTATTAAAGTTTGTAGCGATGCGGATATTAATTATTTGTTTATTTCTTTGTTAGATAGAAAAATTAGTCAATCCGGATATTGTTTGTTTGCGGATAACTCAAAAAGTTCGAATAATTTTTATTAAATTTTTACGATAGGTGGGTCTTGGCCTAATGTAGATGCTATTAAAGTTTGGTGGCGATGCGGATATTAATTGTTTGTTTAACTCAAAAAGTTACGAAGAGATTTTTATTAAATTTTTACGAGAGGTGGGTCTTGGCCTAACGTAGATGCTATTAAAATTTGGTGGCGATGCGGATATTAATTGTTTGCGGATAACTCAAAAAAGGTACGAATAGATTTTTATTAAATTTTACGATAGGTGGTCTTGGCCTAATGTAGATGCTATTAAAGTTTGGTGGCGATGCGGATATTAATTGTTTGCGGATAACTCAAAAAAGGGACTAATAGATTTTTATTAAAATTTTTACGAATAGGTGGGTCTTGGCCTAATGTAGATGCTATTAAAGTTTGGTGGCGATGCGGATATTAATTGTTTGCAGGATAACTCAAAAAGGTACGAATAGATTTTTATTAAATTTTTACGATAGGTGGGTCTTGGCCTAATGTAGATGCTATTAAAGTTTGGTGGCGATGCGGATATTAATTGTTTGCGGATAACTCAAAAAGGTACGAATAGATTTTTATTAAATTTTTACGATAGGTGGGTCTTGGCCTAACGTAGATGCTATTAAAATTTGGTGACGATGCGGGTATTCATTATTCGTTTATTTCTTTGTTAGATAAATTAGTCAATCCGGATATTGTTTGTTTCTTTGCAAGATAACTCAAAAAGGTACGAATAGATTTTTATC